CGTATTCAGCCGCTCAATCCCGCCCTCAGCTGCTCTGATGGGCCCCGGCCCGGCCAGGTGGGTGCTGCAGGTGCAGATGAGTGCAGATGAGTGCAGATGGGTGTAGGTGAGTTCAGGTAGGTGTAGGTGAGTGTAGATGGGTGCAGGGTTCAAAATTTCGGCGAAATTTTCTTTTTTTGGGCGAATATTTCGCTGTCGAAGCTTTCGCCCGAAAGTTTCGGTCAATTTCGCCGAGCTGTCAAAATTTGCATCTGGTGCAAATTTTCGGCGAAATTTTCGGCGAATTTTTCAAATCTCACTGGAAAAGACAGCTAGCAATTGAGGATTGAATGGGGGACGATCCGAGATCTAGATCTCGGAAAGCTCCCCTGAGCCCAAATGTAAAATTGGGTGGGTTGGGTTTTCTAGATCCAGAGCGGTAATACGCGGTTTAGAGATAGAAATCGGTTGGATGCACAAAATGTGACAATTGCGAGCTGTGGGGAGGTCAATCTTCAACATCGATGGGTTAGGGCTGGTCGCGAATCCGTCGAGCTTAGTTGACAGTGCCCATAGTCTTATCACTGGCAGAATTCGTCAGTAGTACTAGCTTTAATTACCTGATTACGCTTGTCTCTACTTCAGGCTACTGCACCACGGCGTCTAGCCTAGAGCTCCATGTCCCATGCGTTTAAAGTGGAGACTGGAGTCGCAACATTGTTTTTGGTCCTCCCCTCACCCTTTTTTTTTGTTTTTTATATTTCCTTGTGTCCTAACAAAATTTCGCCGAGATATTCAAAATCCTAGCGAAATTTTCGGGCGAAACTTTCGAAGCGAAAGTTTCGCCTAGCGAATTTTTCAACCTTGGATGGGTGGAGGTGAGCGAGGGTGAGTGTCAGAGATTCTAGGTGCGCACTGCATGCTGATAACTGGAGCGAGCGGCAGCAATGAAACTTCATCAAAGTAGCCCCTCTTTCTACAGGCATGAAGTATTTGAATGCTTGCTGTTGAAGCTACTCAGTCGACTCAGAAGTCATCAAGATCTGATTACTCGTTGTTGAAGTTATTTTTTTCGAGTTTTAGGGTGTGATTCCCACTCTTAGTATCTGCTAGTTTGGCGTTCACACCCTCAATAAAAACTTCGAGTCTGTGCTGGTCGAGAAATTATTGCTTGATCATTGATGCCCACGATGACTTTTGAGGTGCCTCAAAAGTAGATTGGCTAGAATTTCGAGTCTGTGCTGGTTGAGATATGATTGCTTGATCATTGATGCCCACGATGGGCTCTACTGCTCGTAGAAGTTCTTGCGGAGAGTCACTCTAAACCGGGAGTTGAAGTACGGGGGAAAGACACCGGTGGTACGAGTGATCGTAGCGTTCCTTGTGTTCTCTAGCACTTACGTGTTCACAGGGAAAACGGCAAGAGTTTCACTATGAAAAATTGAGAGCAATGGTGCAAAACGTAATCGCAACAATCACAACAGCAGTGGCCTAACAACCTAGCAGACAGGCAGGTCGACCTCCAGCGCAGCACCAACTTACAATGTCGCACATGTGCGCACCTACTTCGCAGGTGCTTGTAGACGGTTGAGCACGACGTGCACCGTCACGCACACTGCGGAAGCGTCAAGTCGGCCACGTGCCGACAGTTGCGCCAGATATGCCACATCGACCTCTGGATACCAGCCCGAGGTCGGCTTCGCCAAAACCACCTCGACGGCTTCGCAGTGGTCCCGTGCACGTCGACCAAGTCTGTCGACTTGCTCGCCCAAGTCGGCGTCGACCACTGTCAGCAGCCTGCTTCACTTCCCGCGCACCCGACTGCGAAGTCGGTTTCGCCCAAACGAGGGCGGGGCCATTTCTCGTCAACAGTTCTTGCATCACATCACATCACATCACATCACATCACATCACATCACATCACATCAAATCACATCACATCACATCACATTACATTACATCACATCTCATCGCGTCGCATCGCATCACCTCGCATCGTATCACATTGTTTATTCTGCGGAAAGTCACCCTACGGAGAGAGTCCAGGTGGTACGAGTGGTCGTAGCGTCCCTTGTGTTCTCTAGCACTTGAGCGTTCATAGGGCAAAACTGCAAGAGTTTCCACTAGTAAAAGCTGAGAACAACAATGCAGAATGATAGCAAAAGCAATGACATCAATGACTATATATGGGCCTAACAGCCTAGCGACCAGGCATGTCGACCTCCAGCACAGCAGTGAGGCGACCTGCCACCGTAGCAGGTCGACGGCATGCCAACACAGCTGGGAGGCGGCTTGCCAACATCGATGATCTACCAGCATTTCACCCGCATGTGACAATAGCGCAGACGCGCACCCACTTCGGAGGTGCTTGTTGGTGGTCGAGCACGTTGTGCCTCGTCCCGCCCACCGCGCAGGTGCCAAGTGAGCCGGTTGTGCCAGATGCTCCACGTCGACCTCGGGATACCAGTCCGAGGTCGACTTCGCCAAAGCGAGCAGAGGCAAAGCTCGCACGCCTTCGTCGTCGAGCAGCTTCGCTCGACCTGTTCGACGCTGCTTCGTCGAGCAACGCCTCTCGACCGACACGGCGACCAGGACCTGTCGATCAGGGCCTGCTCGACCACCCCTTCCGTCGACCACCACTCTGGTCGACCGAACAGCCCCGAAGACGGCGTCGCCCTGGCGGTAGGAGCCCGCCAACTGCTGCACATGCTCGTTGACCGGCCTGGTCGACGCCGTCCGCCGACTTTCCCACGCCGGCGTCCCCACAGGTCGACGAACTCCTTCGTCGACCGCCCAGGTTAAAGTCGGCTGCCAATCTCCTTCGTCTGCCGCTTCGCAGTGGTTCTGCGCAGGTCGACCAACTTCGTCGACCTGCTCGCCCAAGTCGGCTGCACCTCCCGCGCACCTGATCACGAAGTCGGCTTCGCTCAAGAGAGGGCGGGGCCAACTCCCGTCAACAATTTCGGGCCTTCATTCGTCTCAAAACTCTAAGTTGACAAAACTTGCCGTGTATTCATTGATTCTGCTCCCCCCTCCTCCCCTCTCTCCCCTCTCTCCTCTCTCTCCCCTCTCTCCGTTCTCTCCCTCCTCCTCTCTCCCCCCTCCTCCTCCCTCCCACCTTCGCAGCTCCTCTGTGCACACTTCAATTGGACGTGGCTAGAGCTGGGAAAAACCCGCGTAGCATGCCAAGTTGCTGCCCTGATCACCCCAGCCACACCGCCTCCGAGCATGCAACCACCCCCTCCCCTAGTCGGCTACATGAACAGCGGCGTGCTCGTGAAGGTGCTCCAGGGCCCGCAGTCCTGCCAGCAACTGTGGCGGGCATTTGGCATCGCCTCCCCCATACGATTCTTCCAGATGAATCCCGGGCTCTCGTGCGACTCCTTGCTGCCTTACAGCCCCCTGGAGGGGAATATGATTAGTCGGGTGAGTTGGTTTGCATGGCCTGTGTGTGGTGGGTGGTGGGCAAGTGAGGTGGTGGGATGGGTAGTGTTCAGATGAACCCCGGCCTCTCGTGCGACTCCTTGCTGCCTTACAGCCCGCTGCAGGGGAATATGATTAGCAGGGTGAGTTGGGTAACTTGGTTGCACGGCCTGTGTGTGGGGTGGCTTGTAGTCGACTCATATGTCTTCCAGATGAACCCCGGGCTCCCGTGCGACTCCCTGCTGCAGCACAGCCCCCTGCGGGGAAATATGGTTAGTAGGGTGAGTTGGGTTGCAAGGCCTGTGTGTGGGGTGTGGGGGGCCAAGTGGGGGGATGGGCAGTGTTTGGCATTGCCTCCCCCACGCGATTCTTCCAGATGAACCCTCGGCTCTTGTGCGACTCCCTGCTGCAGCTCAGCCCCCTGCGGGGAAATACGGTTAGTAGGGTGAGTTGGACTGGATGGTCTGTGTGTGGTGTGGTGGGTGGGGGGGCAAATGGGGGGATGGGTAGTGTGTGGCATCACCTCGCCCACACGCTTTTCCAGATGAATTCCGGGTTCCCGTGTGCTGCTCTTATGCCGTACAGTCCCCTGCAGGGCAAGGTTGTGAGTGAGGTGTGGATACTGGTCGATGCATACGCACATAACACCCACATGCACATAACACCTCTCACATGCATGACCCCACAGGCCCACATGCATGGCCCCACATGCATGGCCCCACATGCATGGCCCCACATGCATGGCCCCACATGCATGGGCCCACACACATGAATATGTGTGCTCCTGTGCATGCGAGTGTCCGTGTGTATGTCTGTTCGTCCGTCCATCTGTCTGTGTGTTTGTTTAGGTGTATGTATGTATAATCTTATTCATGTATTTTTCCTCCCCTTCCATCATGTTCAAACTGATGCTTGACTTGACTCACAGATTTGTGTGGCTGCTGTTGACGCCCGGCCACTCTCTGGTATTACATGTACGACCAAGCGCACGTACAGTGTAAAGCGCGGTGATACATGCGGCATGTTGATCGTTAAAAGATACCGCCGCAGTACTGACATGTTTAGGGAGCTTAACAATGGATATGATTGTACAGTAACTAAACTGTGGATCGGCATGTTGCTTTGTTTACCTGTATAAATGCTAACGTAATATTCCCTGTTCATCCTACTTTCCACACCCTACGGCACCATATAGTGATACGTCACCCTACAATTTGCATCCAATTCATTACGGTACTAGTGCCGACATAGACTAGACTGGTGCGGTATGAGGAAATGACGATACAGTACAACCGCAAGCTCAAAGTGAATCTAGAATCGTTAATCAAACACTAGAGACAGGCTTGAGACAGGCGGAATTTCATTCCGGGAACACTACTAGCTTCATGCCATACTTGGCACAGTCCTTCACAGTGCTAAGGAACAAATATACTGATTCAATAGTGATGGACTTTGTAACCTTGCGTGTGGGCTGCACAAATAACTTGGATACTGCCTTTGTATCGCAGGCTTCAAGATACTTCTTGTTATCTACCACACCCACGCTATGCTTGCGCCCAGTGACAGAGCCAAAGAGGTTGCGGCGGCGGTTGTCCCACTTAAAGACTGCAGACGGGAAAAGGAGGTGGATATGAGATGCAGAAAGGAGAAACGCGCCACGAACAAATCAGAGACAAAGTGTTAGTGCTCTGTTGCATGTAGCAGACAGTGCGTGGTAATGGTGGCAGACAGATGATCATAAGAAGCAAGAGATGGTCTCTAAGTGTGATGTGGGAAGAAATATGCAAGATTGCAAATGGTGGCAAACCGCACAGGAGTAAAGCAGCGATTAAGGATCGAGGGGAGAGAGGGATAGCCCAAATACAAGATTGCAAGAAGCCATGCAGCGTGCATAGCGCCTTATGTAGCAAATGACAACACGAACCTAGTATATCGTTCACAAAGAAAGTTGGTGCCTCTCAAGACTTGACACCAGGCCAGCCCTTCTTGCCGCCAACCACTATTGTTGCAGCATGCTGCATGGAGCAGGGAGAGAGAGAACAAAAACACGAGCACAGTATTGAGAAAAAAACTGTCAGCCTGCGCCTCTTCCCCGCCGCCAAACACTACCAACCATTGTGGCATGCTGCATTGAACGAGAGCAAACAATGCGGCAATGAGGCGTCATGCATGAGCTTGAGAAGTGACGCATGAGCTTGAGAAGTGACGCATGAGCTTGAGAAGTGACGCATGAGCTTGAGAAGTGACGCATGAGCTTGAGAAGTGACGCATGAGCTTGAGAAGTGACGCATGAGCTTGAGAAGTCATGAGCAGCAGTGCGACGTAACAAATGTTCATACCGGCATGTCCTATCACACTCAGTGTGGCAGATACATCAAAGAGAAATCGACGAATTTGTAACATTTAATGCAGCGAAAAGTGAGGAACCATTAGCTAAACGGTACAGGTTCAACTGGAAGAATGGAGACCAGGGTTCTTGAACAACGAACTTACCACAACTGCAGGTGCAGGGCTGGTTGTGCCTGGTAGGTCCAACGAGCAGCCTGCACATCATCAGCCAGGTGAGCGGGTCTCAGCACAGCACGCATCCCCACACATCTCTGGCGCCGCAGACGCAGCGCCACAGCAGCGGGTGACACCGCGGCAAGGCACGGGACGATACAGTAGAAGCAGGTGGATATTTCGCATAGGACACGTAGCAAAGAAATTACAGCGCTGGCTACGCTGACTCAAAGTTATCCCCGCTAATAGCATGTTCCTTACTCGCGAGGAGCAGCAGCAGCAAAGGGCGGCACATGGGGCTCCGCTTCACAAACGTCATTGGATAGGCTGCTTGAGGTCCACGCCGAGTAGGTCCGGGAGTAGGTTTGGGAGTAGGTCCGGAAGTAGGTCTGGAACCGGGAGTAGGTCCGGTAGTAGGACCGGGAGTAGGTCCGCGAGGAGGTGGTCGGAGCACGGACAGAGAGATGGCGTAACTCACGGCACGTCCTACGGAGAGCGGAATACCCTGAGGCTACGACAAACCTGATTACAACTGCGGCGGTTGACGCGGGAGGCGAGAGTGACAGTGTCTAGGAAAGCGAGTGGGAGGAAAAAGATGCCACCTGCATGTTGACATTCATACCCTATGCAACTCCTCAGTATACTACAGAACTAGGGCGGGAGGCTAAGGCGGCGCAAGTCTATCTTTGCACCAACTCCAGTTCAACCGCGAATCGCCGATTCCTTCAACGTCGCCTAGCGGGCACGGCCAGCTGTCAGCTGAGAGTCTAAAGCGTTGGACTACACTGCTCGTACACCCCAGGCGATACGCTTTCGACGCGCAACTAATGTAAAAACAGCTTCTGAGATTATCGATATGGACACGCTGGAGTTCTAGGAGGGTTGAAGACTTGAGAAGAGATGCGCAAGGAGTTGTGAGATGCTGCCCTTGCGGTTCACACCTGACCCGCGGGCGGGCCCCTGGGCAGAGATGTGCGGTCGCAAGAGTTATAAACAGAGATTGCGTTGCAGTGCGATAAAGAAAGATGATCAGGTTTGCCACTGATATCCAAGCTATTTGGTAAATTGGAAAACATACAATGTGATATGGTTTCAATTGCTGAATACATCTAAAAACACATAATCAGTTCCTTGTCAGGCAATCATTGTGCTGATGAGAATGGCAACGTTCAAAATTCTCTTACAAGCCAAAATGCGGAAACCGTTCTGATTTACTAATGAACATGAACTAAGTTTGACCTAAGAACATTTCCTGTTTATCCTGCTTTCCGCATCCTGAATTCCCCCCCCTCCTGTTTTTTGCAGCCAGTCCATCACTAGCTAGCGTAGACTATGGATGGACGAGGAGGGTAAGTGGGTGGGCCTATTGCAGAGAGGTGAGAAAGAGAAAGGCGACAACAATGACACCCATAATGCCATCCCACCGTTGTAGGAGAGTTGCAGAGCAGGCGCGAAACGAGGCGCAGCTCACGCAGTTCTGAGATGCTATGCTGCCGTTGCGGTTCACATCAGACCTGTGTGTGCGCCTCTTTTGAGAGGGAAATTTCGTAGTCGTCGGAGGTGGGCCTATTGCAGCGAGTTGAGGAAGAGGATGGTGACGACAATGACACCGATAATGATGGGGATGATGCTGATGCCGTACAGCACACTGTAGCCCTGCACATGCCCCATGCCATGTGGTGGATGGTACATGACAGATGCCAGTGCAGAGAAGACATATGTTTCACAGATTGGAAAGAGCTGGGGCAGCAATGTGTGCATTCGGTGGGCTGTTACACTAAATGGTGGGACAAATATGGCGCACACACAGCAAGCCGTGCCGCTGTTGATAAGTCAGGACACAGTTAGGGAAGCCAGTAAACGGCATAGTGAGAGTGATGCAGAGGAGAAAAGCACAGGAGGGAAGGTTTGAACAGGGCGGGTTGAGGGGCAAAGGGAAAGTGCAAAGCGCATGAGCATGACTGTGTGGATGCTAGCAGTCGCTGCATTTTAAGAACATGTTCTCAAGGTGGGGTGAAGAAGAGAAGGGGTGAGAGGGCGCAAGTGTGAATGTGAGTGTGAGTGTGAGTGTGTGTGTTTGCATGTGTTTGTGTGTGTGTGTGTGTGTGTGTGTGTGTGTGTGTGTGTGTGTGTGTGTGTGTGTGTGTGTGTGTGTATGTAGAGCACGCACCACCCAGGAAGGCACTTTGCTGCTCAAGTCCTTCTCCTCCTCCGCCTGCTTCTCTGCCGCCTTCTCCACTCGCTCCACCACCGCGTCCCATTGGCTCGCAGACGACCCGCCTGCTGACGTGGCAGGTGCTGACGTGGCGGATGCAGAGTAGGCGGCGGGAGTGCGGTTGGCCTGTGCACCGCCCTGCAGCCCCACGTCGGTGATCTGCGCGTAGGGGGACGTGCGCTGCCCGCCTGCCCCCACTGCCTCCTCGGGAGGGGGCTCCTCCTGGGGGGGGGAGGGTCGTGGGGGAAGGTGGTGGAGGATTGGCGTGTAGGGGGAATGGCGTGGTGGAGGAGAGGCGCGGTGGGGGAATGGCGTGGTGGAGGAGTGGCGTGTAGGGGGAATGGCGTGGTGGAGGATTGGCGTGTAGGGGGAATGGCGTGGTGGGGGAGAGGCGCGGTGGGGGAATGGCGTGGTGGAGGAGTGGCGTGTAGGGGGAATGGCGTGGTGGGGGAACGGCGTGGTGGAGAGGGATGAGGAGCAGAGGTGGGGGGAAAGGAGGTTGAGAGAGATGAGGGAGCGGTGTGGGGGAGATTGGGGTTAGGGAAGAGGGGTCTGGGAGAGGCGAGTGGGAGGGGGTTAGGGGAGATGCATGGGAAGACAACTGGGGGAGAGGTGTGACACAAAAGAGAGGAGTGACACAAAAGAGAGGAGAAAAAACCCCACTAGTCGCTTTAAATCCCTTTCTTGAAATCTCACCTTTCTGAAGCCTTGCCACTTTAATCTCCCCATCGCCCTTTAACCCCCACATCGCCTCGTATCCCTTCATATCCCCCGATCCCTCCTGCCCTCGCTCACCCGTAGGCGCGGCCAGTCTCGCATGTCCTGCCTGCGCCAGCTCTCCTTATCCCTCTCATTATCTCTCCTCATTCCCCCATCATCCCTTATCTTCTCGTCACCCCCCATGGCTCACCTGTAGGTGCGGCCAGTCACGCATGTCCTGCGCCAGCTCTCCTTATATCCCTCTATCACCCCTTCCCCTCTTCCCCTCCTTCCCCCCCACCCCCCCCCCCCCATGGCTCACCTGTAGGCGCGGCCAGTCACGCATGTCCTGCGCCAGCTCTCCTTATATCCCTCTATCACCCCTTCCCCTCTTCCCCTCCTTCCCCCCCACCCCCCCCCCCCCATGGCTCACCTGTAGGTGCGGCCAGTCACGCATGTCCTGCGCCAGCTCTCCTTATATCCCTCTATCACCCCTTCCCCTCTTCCCCTCCTTCCCCCCCAACCCCCCCCCCCATGGCTCACCCGTAGGCGTGGCCAGTCTCGCATGTCCTGCGCCAGCTTGCGCAGCACCATGCGATCTGCTGGTACACGGTCCTCACACACCTGCAGGGGGGGAAGGGAGGGAAAGGAGGGAGGGGGAGGGGGAGACATCTCAAAAGCAGCTTGCGCAGCACCATGCGGTCTGCTGGTACACGGTCCTCACACACCTGCAGGGGGGGGGGGGGGGGAGGGAAGGGGGGGGAGTTGTGAGGAGAGAAGGAGGAGGGGATAAGGGTGAGGGGAGAGGGGGGAGGCGTCTTGAACCAGCTTGCGCAGCACCATGCGATCTGCTGCCATGCGATCTGCTGGCATGCGATCTGCTGGCATGCGATCTGCTGGCATGCGATCTGCTGGCATGCGATCTGCTGGCATGCGATCTGCTGCCATGCGATCTGCTGGCATGCGATCTGCTGGCATGCGATCTGCTGCCATGCGATCTGCTGGCATGCGATCTGCTGGCATGCGATCTGCTGCCATGCGATCTGCTGGCATGCGATCTGCTGGCATGCGATCTGCTGGCATGCGATCTGCTGCCATGCGATCTGCTGGCATGCGATCTGCTGGCATGCGATCTGCTGGCATGCGATCTGCTGGCATGCGATCTGCTGGCATGCGATCTGCTGGCATGAGGTCCTCACACACCTGCAAGGAGCGGGGGGGGGAGGGTGGAGACATCTCAAAAGCAGCTTGCGCAGCACCATGCGGTCTGCTGGCATGCGGTCTGCTGCCATGCGGTCTGCTGCCATGCGGTCTGCTGCCATGCGGTCCTCACACACAACTGCAAGGATGGAGGGAGATGCGGCGGGAAACGGGCACAGAGGGGAGAGGGCGCGGATGGGCAGGGAGGGGAGAGGGCGGGGATGTTTCAGACGCCTGCGCTTGCGCAGTGAGAGGGGTGGAGCAGCGAGGAGTGGAGCAGTGGGAGGGGTGGAGCAGTGAGGAGTGGAGCAGTGAGAGGGGTGGAGCAGTGAGGAGTGGAGCAGTGAGAGGGGTGGAGCAGTGAGAGGGGTGGAGCAGTGGGAGGGGTGGAGCAGTGAGGAGTGGAGCAGTGAGAGGGGTGGAGCAGTGAGAGGGGTGGAGCAGTGAGAGGGGTGGAGCAGTGAGAGGGGTGGAGCAATGAGAGGGGTGGAGCAGTGAGAGGGGTGGAACAGTGAGAGGGGTGGAGCAGTGAGGAGTGGAGCAGTGAGAGGGGTGGAGCAGTGAGAGGGGTGGAGCAGTGGGAGGGGTGGAGCAGTGAGGAGTGGAGCAGTGAGAGGGGTGGAGCAGTGAGAGGGGTGGAGCAGTGAGAGGGGTGGAGCAATGAGAGGGGTGGAGCACTGAGAGGGGTGGAGCAGTGAGAGGGGTGGAACAGTGAGAGGGGTGGAGCAGTGAGAGGGGTGGAGCAGTGAGAGGGGTGGAGCAGTGAGAGGGGTGGAGCAGTGAGAGGGGTGGAGCAGCGAGGAGTGGAGCAGTGAGAGGGGTGGAGCAGTGAGAGGGGTGGAGCAGTGAGGAGTGGAACAGTGAGAGGGGTGGAGCAGTGAGAGGGGTGGGGACTTGACGAGCAGAATACAGCAGTTGAGCATTTCCCCCACCCTATCGCCCACACTATCGCCAACCACACTTCCCCACCTCTCCGGCCCTCCTCACCTTCCCTCTCGCCCCCATCCTGCCCCCCTCACACTCCTCGCCAACCAAGCCCCACATCTCCCCTCCTCCGTCCCGCCCCCCCACCTCTCCCCTCCCCCGCCCAGCCCCACCTCTCCCCTCCCCCGCCCAGCCCCCCACCTCTCCCCTCCCCCGTGCGCACATCTCCCCTCCCCCGTCCCCACCTCCCCAATCTCCCCTGCGCGCACCTCAAGGAAGGCATCGGCGATCTCGTCGCGGGAGCACCCACTTTCATTCTCGATGCCCACCGCCCCCTTCCCTCTCCCCCACCCACCTCTCCCCTCCTCGCCCCTCGCCTCTCCCCTCCCCTCCCCAGCGCGCACCTCAAGAAACGCGTCAGCGATCTCGTCGCGGGAGCACCCGCTTTCGTTCTCGATGCCCATCTGCCGCCGCCGCTCCGCCTCGCGCGGGTCCTCGATCATCAGCACCAGCCGGATCTAAGCATTGGCATGGGTGAGGGGTGTAGAGGGGCGTAGAGGGGTGGGGCACAACGGGACACATCGGGTCTTCGATCATCAGCACCAGCCGGATCTGCGCATTGGCGGGCGAGAGGTGGGTGCGGTGGGACGAGGTGAATTGCGGTGAGGGGAAGTTAATGAACTGGGTCCTCGATCATGAGCACCAGCCGGATCTGCGCGCGTGGTAGAGCGCAGAGGGGTGGGGCGCAACAAAACGAGGAGAGTGAATTGGGTGAATGGAATGAGGTGAGTCAATTGGGTCCTCGATCATCAGCACCAGCCGGATCTGCGCATCGGCGCGCGGTGAGGTGAGTGGGGGTGAGACGAGGTGAATTGCGGTGAGGGGGCGTTAGTGAATCGGGTCCTCGATTGGCGCGCGTGACGTCGCATCGGCGCGCGTCACGTCACATTGGCGCGGGCGGCAGGCGCGCGGAAATTGGCGCGCGGCAGAAGGGGAAGGGGCAGCGAAATGAAGACAGCAGGGAGGTGAGCGAAGCGCGCGAACGACGGCGGGTGCTGACGGTCAAGGACGGACATCAATGGATAACGACGGAAATAGACAGACACTGACGGACAATGACGGACAAAACCAGACAACGACGGCGACAGGGAGCGTGCAGTGAGGCCGCACGCACAATGCGAGTCAATTCTGAAATCTGTCAAAACTGCTGGTCGCATACGCAGTGTACTGTACATGGGTGAACGCACACGGATAACGCACCTCCTGCACCGTCATGTCGCGACGCAGGGTACGAAATACAGACTAGGGTACCCCTAATGAACACGGATAACGCACCTCCTGCACCGTCATGTCGCGACGCTCCTTGAGCAACTCGATGGTCTGCCACGCACGCACACGCACACGCACACGCATACGCACACGCACAGTCATGGATACGAATTAGGCTCGAGGCACGCGGCATCCAGCACGCACACGCACACACACACACACACATCAACGGATGCGAATCAGAATGGCAACGACGGTACGGAGTGGGCAGCTCCGCCAGTTGGCAATTGTCGTAAAACGTTGCGAACGTCGCGAACGTCGCGAATGTCGTGAGCGCTCTATGCGAGCGCAAATCACCTCGAGGATGTCCTGAATGTCGCTCAGGTCCTGCGCCTCCTCCGCCGACAGCTGCGCCTCCCCATCCTTCCCCTCCGCCGCCGCCGCCGCTGCCCGCACGGACCGCCTAGACGCGGGACCCGGGTGTCGCAAGGAAACAGACTGCTGCGATTGGCGGCGGCATCGGACGGCTAGCGATCGCCCCGACAAGAAAGCGAGGACACGCGACGGGCGGGATGCGGCGCGCTGTGATGTGAGCGACGGCGACGCGTGTGGGGCGTGTCGAACAGCGCTAGACGTCGCCATTTAGGACGATCTAACGGACTAAACAAAACCTTGCTGATTGATTGAAATTACAAAATGGAAATCCAAGCAGCAAACACGCATACGGGGGCAATCGGAAAGGGAATCGCGCATGGATAAGATACGCGTCTAGAGCTTCTCCTCTTGGTTGCAAGATGAACTGTTGTGCTGACAATATATCTCTCGCCACGGCGTGGCATCTTTCGCTCTCTCGGTGTTACCGGATTTTCACTGACTGCGATGTCGCCAGCCACAATGGATTCGCGAGCGGTGGAAACGGGTTGGGGGAAATTGACAAAAAGGGGGAGAGAAGGGTGATTGGGTGTGGAAGGGGATGTCCGGGGATGCTGGGTGGTTCGGGAGGCTTAGAGTTACAGCACTGTAATGTGGTGGTGATGGGGAACAAATGCTTTCCCAACGGTGTGATTGGAGCCTATTGCGGCATACCCAAGCCACGGCTATTGTTCCGATGTGTGTATGCACCGTTCGATTGCATCATGGATTTCTGAAGTCCCAACCCAACCACACCGTATCCTCGAAAAATTGGGTGCCCGGCAGATGCTTTTACTGCTTCCTAACCTCCATTCCGAACCTCCTATAATAGGCCTTGAAGGGGGCGAGCCTTGGTTCTGCTTCTGCTGTGCTGCCACTGTCCGCAAGTTTCCGAACCTAGGTTCCGAAGCAATGAAAACTCTGGGGGGAAACTACATATCACCTCCGCAGACACGGATCTCCAAGCACGGATCAACTGGAAGATCCTGTCCGCAGTTTTGACGGCAGCTGTTTATGCGTGTCAAGTCAACCCGAGTCGGCCCACGTTTGGGTGTCAATCACTGTAGATGCAGAGTCAACTCGAGTCGCGCCCACTGATATGTGCGACGAAACCTGATTGGTGGGACACGAAATTGTGTTCGTGTGCGATTTCCCGCACGATCAGCACGGCGTGCCAAAATGTCACACAACACCAAACATGAACGCCAGAGCGCAACCCCAACACAAATTGGTCCCCCAAACAGATGCGTCGTGAACAACCAACCACTGGTTGTTCATGAACAAAGCACTTTTTCATATATGCTAGCAAGCCTATTTCTCAAGCTTGAGCTTCCCGTGTCTTCATGTTTTAGTCGAGTTTCAGGTCCGACATTCTAAGAAGTCTAAGTCTGCTGGTAGGTTTCCTTTCCTTCTCAAAACCCCAATAGCTTACAGACTTCAACGCACATCGATCATCTTCCTGACGAGGTTCTTGTTCATATATTCTGGTTTTCCGATTCCGCATACAAAGCACACAAAAACCATCGCGATCATCTTAATCTGGGGTTTCCGATCACGCTGCTCGGACGTATTACTCGTAGTAACTATTCTCGAAACCCTGACTTAGAGGAGCTCTATAACCCGAGCATTGTCTCTCCGTTGCCGATTCCACCTGCCTTCGGAGACACCACTCACAATCTTCGGATAGCGTCTACCTGCAGCAGATGGCGTCGCTTGGCTAAGCTTCATGTATCCGCGTTCGTCATGGAATCATGTTTTCGTCAACATCTCCTAAAACTCCAACCTTCCATCACGTGCTTTTCGAATTTGACGCATCTGCACCTCGGGAGGGTGACGTTTTTGGACGATTCTGTTTTTTCTCATTTCGCCTGCAGTAAACTGAAGTCGTTTCACTTAGAGATGCGCTCCACTAGCCTGGCGAAGAAACCAAAAGACCCAGACGCAGCTGATTGATCCTGGCTTCGACCATTTTTTCCGCCATTGCACTCAACTCGAGAATGTGTCGCTCATCTGTCACCATTGTCAATTCAGGCTGCCAACTTCCCTCTTCCAACTGCCACACCTACAAAAGCTGATTCTGCGCCAGGATTCATTCCTTATGCTTCCAGAGCTTCAAAATCTTTCTTCTCTCACAGCGCTCTCCATTGACTCACTGGGTGTCGATTTCGCGCTGCTATCAAGCCTTGTTCATCTCACTAACCTTGGCAACCTCTCTATCCCTAGTTTAAGAGCAGTAGAGCCTTCTGCTGCCTTCTCGTTTGCGCAGCTTCTTTCTCTGAGGTCCTTGAAGGTTAACGTACCCAGTGGAGCATTCGACCAGCTCTTCTCATCCCCTTTGAATTCATTGGAACAGCTGCAGCTCACTTTTGATTACCTGGAGAGCATTCCTGAAAATGTTGGAGAGCTGATGCCGAGGCTTAGGGAGCTGAGCATCAACCGCTGCAGTCGTGTTGATCGGCTCATGGCCCTGAGATGCTTGAGGAGCCTTACCATTTCAAATTGCAGTGGGGTCACGCTACCTGCCAACTTTGGAGAGTTGTGTGAACTGAAGAAGTTGGCGCTGTTCGAGCTGCCTCTTACACATCTTCCTGCTTCCTTCAGCCGTCTCACGTCCTTGGAGTCGCTTCTGCTGGTTGGATGCAAAGAGGTTACTGAGCTACCAACAAGATTCGGTTCTCTAACGAATCTGAAGTCCCTGTGCATCGTGAGCTTGCCGCAGCTGCTGCTTCCTGAAGACATTGGGGGGCTGACGAACCTAGAAACTTTGATTTTAGAAAGGGTTCATCAGCCACTTCCGTTCTCACTCATTCAGCTGTCGTCACTGACAAGGCTTGACATCATCGGGTGCAACATAACTGAGCTTCCCGACAGTATGGGGGAGCTGAGGAGCTTGCGGAAGTTATCCATCGTTTGCTGCAATTTTCTCGAGGTGCTTCCAGAATTCATCGCATTTCTTGCAGGGCTTCAATATATCGACATTAGAAGTTGTGCGGGCCTTTCTCCAGTATTCAAAATGGAGTGCCCATGTTTGGGTAGCTCTCTTTGCGGGCCCTCTTATTGATTACACCTTAGCGATTCATAGAGTTGGTTGGGGCTTCTTACTAGGCGATATGCATGGTTTCTAACTTTGTTTCCCCACAAACTTCTCTTAAGTTTAGGTCTTTGAATGTGCTTTCTCTAGTCAGGTGTCCTCTTTTTACTAGTGTTTGTGTACATCAATGCGCCTTGTCTAGAGTAATTTGTTTTGGAATGGTGCAAGGTGTACATGGCACATCGCCAATTTGGGGGGTGTGGGAAACTTGTTGGGAACGAGTTGTTGCCGAGTGGTTTTCGACTCCTGGCGTTTTCCCGCGAATTGCGATTGGTTTCCGACACATCTGACAAGTAGAGAACGACTGGTGCAGAGAATTTCTCCCAAGCCCTCCGAGTTGGTTCGGGAAATTTGAGCGAACACGCACAGGACACCTGGCGCGTGACGATTTGTTGCAACTTTGTTTCTATTGGCTGCCGGGCCGTCCAAATACATCCCGACGCGCACTCGTTTAGAAGAGGAAACTCGTTATCATTCTTTTGGACTCGTTCATATAATCCGACTTTTTTTTGCCCATTTTTTAAAACGTGATACTAAGGAGGGATGAACACAGCGAGTTTCGAAATCATTAATGTCAATAGATACAGTAAAGATACAGTACACTAGCAAAATAAAGGGATAGTGAGTAAACATTTACAGAAATTTTTAGAAATTCCGTACATCCTACAATGCGCTACATTATAACAAATAGAGAGACAATACACTAAAAAGGTCAAAAGCTTACACAGATACAGATCCAAGAACTACCATTAGTTACAAACTCATCTACACCTACAAAAACAGCCCTAAGCTACCACAGGTACTACATGTCACCTGTAAAGCTCCTCCTGCTCTTCATTCTCATCATAAACCCGCTCCTGCGAGCCTGGCTCGCTCACTAGCTCATCCAGACCAAGGTCACCATGCTCGTCTGCAACCAGCTCCTCCTCTGGAATCTCCTTCCAACCAACGATGCAGACCTTGCCGATCCCAAGGCAGTCGTCCGTGCGAGTGACGTCACTGCTGTTGATCCAGGCTGTACCACTCGCGCCTGCCTGGCAAGAGCACCAGGATCCCCCGACCGATCCAGCTGAGCCTTCGTGGCGCCGGGATGGCGGAACTTGAACCTCACCTGCACGAAGAAGAAAAGCAATCAACACTTGTTAAATTGCACAATGTGAAAGGCAAATAAAGTGCTCATATTAAACTTACCGCTGCAAGGATGACAAGCAGCTGAACAGGAAATAAACCAATTGGCAAGGCGCCACTCGAATCCCACAGAGAAGCGCACTTAACGAAGGCAGGGCTGGAAAACGGACTGCCTCTCCCGTTGACGTGCCAGGGAATCCCCAAGAACTCTGCAACGGACCAAAACATACGTTAGAACATGCCACGTTAATCCCGAAACCCAATTAATGCAACCGAAAAAAAAACCTCAATGACTTACTGTCGGCCAAACGCTCAACGTAGTCAGCACATTTCGTGAGTAAGTCGTCAGGCACCTGCAGGGTTAGCTCTTCCTTGAAGTTCCGCTTCCTCTCCATAAAAACGCATGGTTCTAGGCTCAGAGCATAAAGGCGACATAATCGGTAGATTTTACCGATCCGGTCGTTGAAGCGCACACACGCGT